CAGCTGCTGCTGTTGCTGCTGTAGCAGCAGGAATTTCTATGTTTGCTTCTTTCTTACAGCGTCTGGCTTCCCTCCATCCCAAGCCCAAACCCTAAACCCTAAACCCTAAACCCTAAACCCTAAACCCTAAACCCTAAACCCTCGGTGAGGATGTCGGGGCGTTCACAGGCGGATGCAGCAGCACTGCAGCTGCTGGGGAGGTCTCGTGCTGAGCGTTTGTTGGATGGGGTGTATGCACGGCAGCGTTTGCTGCTGCGTAAGCGTCGGCGTCAGCAGCAGCAGCAGCAGCAGCAGCAGATCCTGCTGCCTGAGGAGCGAGAAGCTCGTCGACGCCTATTGATACGTCGCCCTGTATCTGCAGCAGAACAGCAGCAGCAGCAGCAGCAGCAGCAGCAGCAGCGAACAGCAGCAGCAGCAGCAGCAGCAGCAGCAAAAGGAGGAATATCACTAGCAGCAGCACTCAGCAACCTCATACATAAACACTTTCACAATAAAGCGAAATACGCTAAAGCTGTTGCGCTGCTGCAGCAGATGTGGGCAGCATATTTCAGCAGCAGCAGCAGCAGGCAGTTCTTTGGTGCTCTTGTTGCTGCTGCTTCTTCAGACTTTGTTTATAGTGACGAGAAAGGGAGACAGGCTGTGTCTTCGTTGTTTACTTCTTGTGTGCTGCCGCTGCTGCAGCAGCAGCAGCAGCGAGAGCAGCAAAAAGCAGAAGCAATACTGCGTCTTGCTGACGCAAGGAAGCAGCAGCAGCAGCAGCGTATTCATCTCCAGCTAGCTGCCTCGGCATTCCCTTCATACAACAGCAGCAGCAGCAACAGCAGCAGCAGCAGCAGCAGCAGCATGCATATGCGAGCCAACGCTGCTGCTGCTGCAGATATGGCGGAGGCTGCTGCTGCTGCATTCATGCGGGCGGAAGTTGCTGCACAGCAGCAGCAGCTGCAGCAGCAGCAGCAGCAGCAGCAGCAACATGCAGCAGCAGCATATGCACCTCAGGAGAGTTCAGCATACACCCCATACAACAACGGCAGCAGCACAGACAGCAGCAGCACCAACGGCAGCAACAGCAGCAGCAGCAACAGCAGCAGCAGCAACAGCAGCAGCAGCAGCAGCAGCAAGGAGGTGGAGCTGAGCCCAGACATGGTGAGTTTGCTGCAGCTGCTGCGGGTGCGTTGTGTGGTGCATCCGCAGCTGCAGACAGACGATGCCTTTCAGTTCAATGCTGCTGTTGCTGAGCTGCGGCTGCTGCTGCAGCAGCTGCAGCAGCTGCAGCAGCAGCAAGAAGAAATAGGAGAAGAGGATGAGGCCTATATGACGGACAGCGACTTCGCCGACTCAGACACCAACGAAGAACACACGCAGCACAAACAACCCAGGCTGCAGCAGCAGCAGCAGCAGCAGCAGCAGCAGCAGCAGCAGGAGCAAGAGCAGCAGCAAGAGCAGCAGCAAGAGCAGCAGCAGAACGGGATGCAGCAACAGCATACTCATGCATCTCCTACAGACTCCGGCAGCAACAGCGTTGAAAAAGCCAGCAGCAGCAGCAGCAGCAGCAGCAGCAGCAGCAGTACGAGCGGCGGGGAGGGAAGCAGCAACAGCAGCAGCACTAGTGGAGACAGCACTAGCAGCAGCAGCAGCAGCAGCAGCAGCAGCAGCAGCGGCTCGCAAGGGCCATGGCGTGTCAAAACAGAGAAAACGGATGCAGAAGCAGCTGCTGCTGATCCCTCAGCAGCAGCAGCAGCAGCAGCAGCAACGGCTCCTGCAGCAGCAGAAACAGCAGCAGCAGGAGCAGCAGCAGCGGCACCTGCAGCAGCAGCTGAGGCCGATAAGGGCGCAGGTGCTGCAGCAGCAGCAGATGCGAGTACTGCAGCGTCGGATGCTGCAGCAGCAGCAGCAGCAGCAACAACAACAGCAAAAGGAGGAGAGGAGGCAGCAGCAGCAGCAGCAGCAGCAGCAGATGATGCAGCAGCAGCAGAAGATGAAACCCTCGCCGAAGAAGAATGGCCCCTGCCTCTGGGGTGCGGCAGTAAACCCTAAACCCTAAACCCTAAACCCTAAACCCTGAAACTAAAGTATCACATTGCGGCATATAAACCCTAAACCCTAAACCCTAAACCCTAAATGCAACTGATAAGGACAGAAGCGATCACCTTTCTCCCCGATAGTTAGCTCCAGCCTGGTGTTTAGGGTTTAGGGTTTCTGGCGTTTAGGTTTAGGGTTTCTGGGGTTTAGGGTTTAGGGTTTAGGGTTTAGAGTTTAGGGTTTAGGGTTTAGGGTTTGTGTGGGTGCAGGAAGCCTGCGCTGCTGGTGCTGAGCAAATGCTTCTTCCTTGACGCTCTCTCCACCGTCTTCTCCTTTCGCACAGTAAGCCAAATTAGGGTTTAGGGTTTAGGGTTTAGGGTTTGTAGGGTTTAGGGTTTGTAGGGTTTAGGGTTTCTAGGGTTTAGGGTTTAGGGTTTAGGGTTTAGGGTTTAGGGTTTGGCTGCTCTGCTGCAGACCCCCTGGGCCCGCGCCTCAGTGGAGCAGCTCTTCCAACAAGCCTACAGACACCGGTACGTGCTGCTGCTGCTGCTGCTGTTGCTGCTGCTGCTGCTGCTGTTGCTGCTGCCGCTGCTGCTGCTGTTGTTGTTGCTGTTGTTGTTGCTGTTCTTGCTGTTGCTGCTGCTAGCTTACGGTCGTTTCTGCTGCTGCTGCTG